TTTCGATAGAGCAAAGCAAGCTCTACAAGATGGCTTTCAAGATTTTGCGCCATGCTCGATACACGGAGAGTTCGAACTCAAAATTTAAAGATTTGCAAATGCCCAAAAAATCGAAAAAAATCAGATCTCCGTTCAAGTTATTTATACGGACCTCCCACTCGCTCACATCAATACTATCGATATCTGATATCCATATGTGCGATTGCCGTACTTTTTCCTTGACTAGAAACTGAGAAAACGAAAATTTCCCTGATTTTCTCAAAGCAATGCTGAGCCGTTTTTGCACATGTGATTCTATACTACAAGCCTAGGTAAATATAGCTGTAGGTTTTCAGCCTGTTTCGAGCGGTAATTTTCGAGAAATGTTGATATTAGCACTGAAACTGAAACCAAAAAATCCGAATTCGTTATTTTTTGAAAACCACCGCTTGGAATGCGCTGAAAATCTACAGTTATACTTACCTAGGCTTGTAGTATGGAACTACATATGCAAAAACGGCTCAGCATTGCTTTGAGAAAATCAGCAAAATTTTCGTTTTCTCAGTTTCTAGTCAAGGAAAAAATACGGCAATCGCACATATGGATATCAGATATCGATAGTATTGATGTGAGCGAATGGGAGGTCCGTAGAAATTATTTGGACGGAGATCTGATTTTTTTCGATTTTTTGGGCATTTGGAAATCTTTAGATTTTGAGTTCGAACTCTCCGTGGATCGAGCATGACGCAAAATCTTGCACGCCATCTTGTAGAGCTTGCTTTGCTCTATCGAACAGTACCCCTTACCCTTTGTCGGGTTGAGTCTGGTTGCTCGACATTATTTTCTTGACAACCTAATAGTAACATTTATTTAGACTATCTGGATCATACTCAGCATTTGGAAAGGAGAGAAAATTTTTTTATTGATGATTTTGACCCTCCGCAGGAACGCAATTTTTCAATGAAAAAAAAATCATAACTCCATTCAGATTATCGTTTCGCAGATATGAAAGACAGTCTACGAACCAGCATTCAATAGCGCATTTTTTGGTATACAAATCATTATGAATGGCTGCGGCATCCAAGTATCCTTCCCCTGTAAGAACTCTGTCAGAGAATCTTTCAATTTTTTCGCCAAAGGAGTATGAAGCGTTACTACTGTTGTAGAGCCCTCCCTTATATTGGAACTTGCTCGCTCACTATAGGCTAGGTCGATATGGTCTCTGTGGTTGCGGCGTACCCGCCGCACTTTGATATATTTTGTGTGCTGTCCCTGAGCTATTTCTGGTGAACCCTTGGCATGTACGCCGATAGGCAGAGGGGGGACTGTTGTGTTTTTCTAATAAATCGTCAACGGCTTAACGCGTTCCACAACAACTGGCGATCAGGATCAAGGACAAGAAGACCTCCACCGACCAAGGACCAGAAGAAGCTCCACCGACCGAGGACCAGCAGCCCTCCAATCAAGGACAAGAAGAAGCGCTGCAGCTCAGCCAAGCCGGGAGGAAGCTGTTACCGGTCGAGGACAGCCAGACAAGTAAGCGCTGCTAGGAATTCGATTTAGCAGAAGAACTCGTCGACTCCGAAGAGTTCTACCATGCCGAAAGCCAGTGAAGAGCGGCATGGCCATGACTCTTTGGAGAAGGTCCTGTCGGTCATGGTCGATCAAATGCGAATTCAGCAGGAGCAAATGCAAATGCAGGCGCAAGCTCTACAGGAGCAAATGCAAGTACATTTGCAACTTCAACAGGAGCAGCAGACGCAATTGCAAGCTCAGCAGGAGCAGATGAAGGAGCTGATCATCACCTTAGCCAGTAAGCAGGGAGCCGTCCAGGATGCCAGCAAAGATCAATACGATCAGCTGAGCAAGGAAGTGCAACGATTTGTCTCGGACGAGGAGACAGGAAACACGTTTGCATACTGGTACGGCAGGTATGGACCTATCATTCGCGACGCCCAGCTGCCGGATCACAAGAAGCGCGACTTAATCCTCATGAAGCAGGACGAAGAAGCCTACCGGAAGTATGCGGATGAGGTCTTACCTGCGCAACCGCACGACTTGGACTTCGACACCACCATCGCGAATCTTCAGAAGCTATTCGCCTCTAAGAAGACCCTGATTAGGAGGAGGAACGAGTGCCTGAGGATAGCCTGTCCACCGCTTACACCAACGTGCGTACCATTTCGCGAGTACGCTAACACCATCAAGCGGATGGACGAAGACGCTCGACTCAAGGAGCTGGATTACACGGCGATGAAGACGCTGCAATTTGTAGCAGGCCTTCAAGATCCCTCACTCAGGGAAGTTCGTCTTCGGATGATTCGTCGACTGGACGCTCACAGGGACGAAGCACCATTAACAATCGAGGACCTAGTCGCGGAATGTGAGAATTTCACTGCTTTGAAAATGAATAACACGGACATGGAAGGCACGCGCGACATTCATGCAGTGTGGAAGAAAAAGGAGGTAACTTGTTTCACGTGCGGAGGACCGCATTTCAGAAGAGACTGCCCACAATCCGACAACACTGGTCGGAAGAAGCGGCGGAAGACAGGAGCGCAGTTTGGCCGCAGAAGACAGTGCAAACATGTGGTCGCCTTCGACACCGAGAGCGCGCGGACCTACCTCGACGTCGTAGTTAGAGGATGTAATCTCAAACTTCAGCTGGACACAGGTGCAGATATAACGCTGATATCACGCAGAGCTTGGAAGAGGATGGGATCCCCGGCTCTGGAACCCTGTGTGATGCCTGTGGAAACTGCAAGCGGGACGTCGATGAAGATATATGGTAAATTCTCAACCGATTTTTCCATCAGAGATCGAGTTACAGGGAAGATGCTTCATGGAAATGGCACATGCTACGTAACTGAAGGCTCGAATCTACTAGGACTGGAATGGTGCATCCAGCTGCCGGCATACAAAAAGCTGAAGGGCAACTTCTATTGCAGAAAGGTGACTAGCGAAGAGAAAATCCGAGCCGAAGTGGTCGCCGACTTGAAGAAGAAGTATGGAGAAGTCTTCAACAGTGACCTAGGAAAGTGCACGAAGAGTAAGGGCATCAACAGAGACATCAAGGACTCAGCGCGCCGCTGTAGGGCAGGTCAAGAAGCAGCCAAGATGCCAACGAAGACTGTACGGCATTCATGGAAAATGGAACAGAAACCATGGAATAGACTTCATATTGACTATGCAGGGCCGCTGAATGGTAAGATGTATCTCGTCGTAGTTGACACTTACTCACAATGGCCAGAAGTATTTGAGATGCCTTCATCTTCAACTACAGCTATCCTGAGAGAACTAAAATCTCTATTCGCTCGATTTGGAGATCTACAAGTGATCGTGTCGGATAATGGGACGCAGTTTACAGCAAAGGAGTTCCAAAATTTCTGTGAAGAGCGAGGAATCAAGCATATGCGTTCACCTCCATTCCATCCACAATCAAATGGACAAGCGGAGAGGTTTGTGAATATCTTCAAGAGAACCTTCCAGAAAATCAAGGAGGGAGGAACGGCAGAGGAGCTTGCGAAGTTTCTACAATCTTATCGACGTACGCCTTGTACGACGACTCCAGGACAACGTTCGCCTGCCGAGCTGCTCTTAGGACGTCAGATAAGGACACCACTGTCGCTGCTGAATGAAGACTCCAAAGAAGAAGGAATGGGCAATAAATCTATGGAGAAGCAGTTCAACCGCCGTCACGAAGCACGAAAGAAAGCGTACCAGCTACAAGAAGCCGTGTGGGTACGTGATTTTCGCTCTGAATGTGAAAAATGGATTCCAGCATGAGTGAAGAAACGATATGGAGAAGCGCTATATGGCGTGCTTACGGAAGACAACCAGTTATGGAGACGACATGCGAACCAGATGCGTAGTGGATCAAGTATGGATCGCCGTCGTGACTCATCGCACACCATGCGTTCCGAAGAAGACCGATTGGACAATGGCATGGACATCGCTGAACGCCATGCAACTTCAACTACGTCATCAACCAGACCAAGTCGCCATCGTCGCCCACCAGAACGTCTACAAGTAGATCCTTTTTGTAAGATGTACCGTTGTTCATCTTAGGAGGGAGGTGTTGTAGAGCCCTCCCTTATATTGGAACTTGCTCGCTCACTATAGGCTAGGTCGATATGGTCTCTGTGGTTGCGGCGTACCCGCCGCACTTTGATATATTTTGTGTGGTGTCCCTGAGCTATTTCTGGTGAACCCTTGGCATGTACGCCGATAGGCAGAGGGGGAACTGTTGTGTTTTTCTAATAAATCGTCAACGGCTCAACGCGTTCCACAACAACTACAAAGAAGATCCCTCCCCGAAAAGCACGACTACTGAGCCACCCAAAGACCGTCAATCATGAGAACTGCACAAACGTACAAAAAAATTGTTTCCCTGTCCAGCCAAACTTCCCTACGTGCCGCTTACAAACCAATATTATCTACCTGAAAGACAGTTCATGCCCTACGTGCCTTTTGAAGACCGTTTAAAAATTAAGATATCTTCCCCAAAGGTGAAAAAATCTATTTCCCTGCCCGATCGAATTACCCTACGCGCCGCTCACAAACCAATATTATCTATAGCGACCCTACGGGCCGCTAGCAAGTGGGTTGAAGCCAATACATTATGAGTCAAGGCTACACTTATTTGCACACTAACAATAGGCTCTCGTTTTTCAAAGCGTTCAGTCTCCACAGTAAACAGAGGATACTACTAAATCATCACATTCAAAAAATAGACATTTGAAAAAGAACTATCTGTTTCATGTTGCAGCTTACGACAAAAAAACAAACGAGACTATTAAAAATTTGCGACCTTGTTTGTGAGCACTAATAGTCTGACCAAAGTTATATCGGATTACATATGGGTTATTCGGAAAGTTTTGCCATTTTTTTCCCAAACAGGCTTCTTCAGCAAAGTGATCAAAATTCAAGTGCGCTCCCCTGAAGTTTCAGCAAGGGTACGATTGATTCGGTACGGTTGAAAGTTCTAACAAAAGATTAAAGTTTCTTACAATTCTGAATTTCTATCAAAAAAACGGAGGCCTTTGAGCATCCATCAGTTTTCTTACTAAGCAAACAGAGACTTCATAACATTTTCTACAAAATCCATCCATGCATACAAATTTCTTTGATGCTCCGAGGCCTTCTTGCGAAAAGTGACAAGGCCTCCTTACACTCGAATTTATACAAAAGCATTTATTTTTAAATTTTAGGAAATCCGGCCAGAAGTGAGGCGAAACCCCTTCCTTGTAGATAGTCCAAATTGAAATTGTAAGCAATTCCCTCACTTTCAGACACCATTTCAAAGTGACCTTACAGAATCGCGGGACCCTTTAAGTACCCCTTCATTCCTCTTGTGAGAAATACCGATATTTTCTTTACAAGTTTTTTTTATAAAGAATACATGATTCGTTTTCCAAATCCGTAAGAGACAATGCGAAAAAAGCATCAAAAGCATCAAAAGCATTTTCAGCATCTTCATCAAAAGCAAATTGAAAAGGTCTTTGTAATGCTGTCTTGTCTCACACACCACTGAATAGCGCTTACCAGCAAAACCAAAGTTCACTTTGCAATCCTGAGAGCAAAAGTGGAATTTTTTCACGGTATTTGACGATTTCCAAAAAATCAAGCTCGAAAAATTTCTTTCGTAAAAGCATTCTACGGTAGCTGCCAGCGAGACCGGAATTGCACTTTTCATTCCTAAGGGCAAAAGCTGATTTTTCAGAGTAGTCAAAAAATTGCAAAAAGCTTTGCACATTGCCAAGTGGAATTCCAGAGTATTTGCAAAAATTATATCAAGTGCAAGAATTTCCTCAAAAAGCACACTATTTTGCAGTGAAAACTTGTGGGTTATCTTCAAGTACACAAATCCATCGAAAGCAGCTCTTACCAAATTTCACAAAAACATTTCCAAAGAAAAGAGTCTCTTTGGGAAAAGTGTCAAATAAGTACAAGCCACTCCGTCTTTCATGCCAAGTTCAAAAGGAGAGGGGGAGGAGGGAGCAACAGTAGGATTCCTCAAGATTAAAGAACCCAAGGGTGCCTTCTTTTTTGAGTTTTACTGTGACCCTTAGTTTAAGGTAAAGTTCTGCCGCATAAAGTCCCTCTCCTCTACGCCAGCGAGACCAAGTTCGCCCTGCTTTTTTCTTTCTTAGGGGCACGGTGTAGTTGAACTCAAAAGCATATTTCGGCAGGATTTGAAAATTTGTTTATGAGTTCTCGGGATTTTTTTCAGGGAAAAGTTGTGCCGCATTAAGTCCCTGGTCTTTCCTGGCAGCGAGACCATGTCGCCCTGCTCTTTTCTTTTTGGGCAAGAGTAGGAATTTCTCTGTGAAAAAGAACCTAAAAGTTCTATCGGTAAATATCAAACTTTGTAAAACATTGGAAAGTTCGAAAGTTTCGCGCCCATAAAGTCCCTGGTCCCTTCCAGGAAGACCATGTTCGTCCTGCTGTTTTCTTTTTGAGCAAAAGTAGGAATTCCTCAGTGAGAAAAAAACCTTAAAGATCTTTCGACAAATAAACTTTGTCTGTAAAACCTTGGAACTTCGTAAATCTCGCGCCCGTAAAGTCCCTGGTCCATTCGAAGAAGACCATGTTTCCCTGCTGTTTTCTTTTTGTGCGAAAGTAGGAATTTCTCAGTGGGAAGAAACCTAAAAGATTTTTCAACTAATATCAAACTTTGTCTGTAAAATGAAACTTCAAAAATTTCGTACTCATAAAGTCCCTGGTCCCTTCCAAGAAGACCATGTTTTCCCTGCTGTTTTCTTTTTGTGCAAAAGTAGGAATTTCTCAATGGGAAAAAAACCTGGAAGATTTTTCTTAAAGGCAGTGTCTCACCAAAATTTAGTTGCCGAGATTTTTGCATTTTGCAAGCTTGTCAGACCCTGTTTAGCACTGTATGGGCTCAAAATCGCATGAAGTTCCCAAAAACCCCGTTTTCTGGAGGCCACGCAGAGGCGACGTGGACGAGTTGTTCCTTCCACTTCAGCCTCAGCAACAGTGGCAGCAACAGAGGGGAGGTGCATGCCAAGTGGAGGTACATGTTCAAACGCGTAAGGGAGGAGACCGAAGGAGTCGTCCGCTCGTACCAAGTCGCTCTCCGCGTACCACTTTAAGCGAATTTTTCTCAGCGTGGATGGGGTCAAATTAAGTGGGACTTGTTGTAATGGCCTATTTAGAGGTCCCTATAATAGAATATGTGAAAATCCGCGCGATTTCAACTTTGGTGAGACACTGCCTTCAAGAGTTTATTTGTGAGCCATTGGAGTTCTTTAGAAATAATTTCGCGCCCATGAAGTCCCTCTTCCTTTCCAAGGAGACCGTGTTCGCCCAGCTGTTTTCTTTTTGGGCAGAAATATTTACCAAAAGTGAAGGCTTTCAAGAGCATTTTCTCTTGATGGATCATGAAACATGGAGAGTGAATGAAGATATTGTCTATGAAAGTGGCACACTGAAATCAAACTTCGTCCAAAGTAATTATCGGAATACCGCATGCGAATTCAGTGCGATTAGCAGCTGCACTGATATTTTGACAACAGCAGCAAAAAGTAGCTTGAAATCTTTCATTGCTCAACTGCTTTTTCCCTTGATTGTGTGGAGTTACGTTTAATCAAAAAAGCTTGCATTTGGTTGTTGGACGAGTAGTAAACTACGCGACATAGTCAAAACCCGGAGAATTCGGCTATCGCAGAAACCTGGTGATCACAAAACAGCGTTCGTTGAACAAATCGAAGCTATGCATGCATAAGACGATCTCGAACTTATAGGAAAAGCCTATAATGACGATTACTTTATTTATGTATTTATCATATATATATGTATTTAATAGCTTAGCTGTGAGAAAAACGCATCAACGCAACATCAATAGTGAAAATCCGATTATTTCCAGAGAATATAATTATGGAAGTAGGAGGGCAGTATGCTATGCTGATTATTTGTATGATAAAAAAGCTTCAGCTCCCATCAAGTCCCATCGAGTTGACAAAAATAGGGAGCGTTACTTGAATGTTGGGTTTGTTGGCTTTTGAGGCAGATTTGTGATGATTTTTGTTGAGATGTGTGCGCACGATTATTGTTCTTCCCCAAATCTAAACGTCCCCTTCAAGATCTCATGGAATACTCAATTTTTTCGTTGAACAATCAGACTTTACATCAAGCTTGGAAAAAGGTTTTCCATAGAAAACTTGTGCGTGAAAGGAATACGAACTTTCCAAAAGGAGGCTAAATGTTCCATATTTGTAGAGGGTGACAGAAGGAAGCCGTTATCAAAACTGTAATCGTCTTGCAAGTGGAACTCAACGAAAGAGAGATCGATAGCTGGAGCGATTTCGTACACAACCATTCCAGCTACCATGACATATTGCTATTTGATCACTTAGCAAGTGCAGCAACGAAATCGATAAAGGTGGCCGATATGTAATCGATAATTCTGAAATTCATTGGAATTGTGATCAGCAAGCACACATACACCCTTGTGCCAATTCTCAGCCGCTTAGCTCAAAGCTCAAAAATCTCCGCTCCGCCCCGGGATCCATAGTGCAAGCAAATCTCTTGCCGACATAATGGCTACAGGCCTCTCCTCCCGTCATCACTGAACGCCGTTATATTTTCCCATTCCTTTTTCTGGAATCCTTCAGCAACT